GATACCTTAAAACAACTGAGGCCAATAGGAAAAGGGACCAGGAACTAGAGAAAAGGTTAGATTAAAGAATTAACCTAGAAGGTAACACCCACGCACAGGAAATCAATTGAGTCAATGCCCTGTATAGCTATCCTATATCTCAACTAGCAAAACCCCTTGTTCCTTCCTATTATTGCTTATACTCTCTCTACAACAAAATTAGAGATAAGGCAAAATAGTTTCTGCTGGTATTGAGGGGGAGCGGAGGGGGTGGAGGGTGGTAAGGAGGGGGTGGGGCAGGGGGGAGAGAAATAAACAAGCCTTGTATGCACATTGAATAAAAAAGAAAATGAAAAAAAAAAAAAAAAAAAAAAAGGGCAAACACAACAAGGGATTGGACTATGGCACATGATAAAGCTTTAGCACACAAGGAGGGTGAGGATAGGTAAGACACCTAAAAAACTAGCTAGCATTTGTTGCCCTTAATGCAGAGAAACTAAAGCAGATACCTTAAAGCAACTGAGGCCAATAGGAAACCAGGGAACTAGAGAAAAGGTTAGATCAAAAAGAAATTAACCTAGAAGGTAACACCCACGCACAGGAAATCAATGTGAGTCAATGCCCTGTATAGCTATCCTTATCTCAACCAGCAAAACCCTTGTTCCTTCCTATTATTGCTTATATTCTCTCTACAACAAAATTAGAGTAAGGGCAAAATAGTTCTGCTGGTATTGAGGGGGGGAGCGGGAGGTGAGTGGGTGGTAAGGAGGGGGTGGGGCAGGGGGAGAAATGAACCAAGCCTTGTATGCACATATCAATAATAAAAGAAAAAATGAAAAAAAAAAAAAAAAAGAGTAGGTTAAGAATTTCATAGCTTTTTTGTGATATCTATATTTTATAAGGAAAAATTCAGGTGTTATTTTTAAATTACTAACAACTTAAATTTTTGTAGTGTTTGCATAAGCTTGCCTATTAAAATTGGGGTTTTAAACTTTATAGCATTTTCCTAGATAGTTTAAAGTATGTCATTTATACATTTGGTTCTTATGTTTAGAGGGTAGCGATCTACCTAACCAACAGATTATTCATTTGCTCCTTATTTCAAGAATGTATAAATTCAACTCTTAAAGATTTCATGAGACAAACTTTGTATGGAAACACAGAAACTACAATTTATAAGATACATTTAGCAGATTGTCAGTATTGGTGTAAAAGTTTTACCTTGTAAATAGCAGAACTCACTCAAAATATAAATCACTTTTAAAGAATGGTTTAGCCCGGAGTCAGGGTTGGGAGGGTGGGGGCAGGGGAGAGGTGGCCCAAATAATGTAAACACATGTAAGTAATTGTAAAGATGATAAAATAAAAATTAAAAAAAAGAATGGTTTAAAAATACTTTAATTTTTTCAATCTTTAATATAGCCATTTATCTTGCTTCAATTTCTTTCTGTATGTGTTTTGTTATGTGATATTCTCTTTATTTTATATATATATTTATTTTTATTTTATTGTTTTTACATTTACTCAACACTGCCCCACTTCCAGGCAGAAAGGAATTCTCTTTAAAAGAGGTGAGAGGTATATCCATTTCTTTACATGATAGTCCTGAAAAAGAAAAACTAAATATGGAGGTCTTTTCAAAAAGCAACAGATGATAATGGTTATCCTCCTTATCTGAGTGCTTCTTCCAAATTCATGAAGAAAGGATCCGTTCAGTAAAACAAAACTCTTACAGTGAAGCATATTTAAAGTGCTCTATTTACTTGCAGATTGGCCGCCTTCAAGATCTGGTAAGGAAAAGTGAACAAGGTCTTGGCTCTGCTGAAGGACTCATTGCTAGTCTTCAGGACTCCCAGGAAAGGCTTCAGAATGAGCTTGACTTGACAAAAGGTCGGCTAAAGGAGACCAAGCACACTCTATTAAATGTTGAGGTAATTGCATCATTGTACTGTGAACACCAGCAAAATAAAAAGATAATTTAGCCATTTTTCTTAAAGCTTATTTGAAAATTGTATATAATTAGTGCATTAGTTTCTAGAGTTCCATTACAAGGTACTTCAAACTGGGTGACTTAAAACAGCAGAAATTTATTCTCTATCTACTTTGGAGGCTAAGATGGAGAGGATCACAGTTCAAGGCCAGCCCAAGCGTAAGGTTTGCAAGACTACACCTTTTTTTTTTTTTTTTTTTTTTATTCATATGTGCATACAAGGCTTGGGTCATTTCTGCCCCCTGCCCCCACTCCCTCCCTTACCACCCACTCCACCCTCTCCCTCTCCCCCCAACCCCCTCAGTACCCAGCAGAAACTATTTTGCCCTTATCTCTAATTTTGTTGTAGAGAGAGTATAAGCAATAATACGAAGGAACAAGGGTTTTTGCTGGTTGAGATAAGGATAGCTATACAGGGAGTTGACTCACATTGATTTCCTGTGCATGTATGTTACCTTCTAGGTTAATTCTTTTGATCTAACCTTTTCTAGTTCCTGGTCCCCTTTCCTATTGGCCTCAGTTGCTTTTAAGGTATCTGCTTTAGTTTCTCTGCATTAAGGGCAACAAATGCTAGCTAGTTTTTTAGGTGTCTTACCTATCCTCACCCCTCCTTGTGTGCTCGCTTTTATCATGTGCTCAAGTCCAATCCCCTTGTTGTGTTGCCCTTGATCTAATGTCCACATATGAGGGAGAACATATGATTTTTGGTCTTTTGGGCCAGGCTAACCTCACTCAGAATGATGTTCTCCAATTCCATCCATTTACCAGCGAATGATAACATTTCGTTCTTCTTCATGGCTGCATAAAATTCCATTGTGTATAGATACCACATTTTCTTAATCCATTCGTCGGTGGTGGGCATCTTGTTTCCATAACTTGGCTATTGTGAATAGTGCGCAACGAAACCCCAGCAGCACAGCAACTAAGAGATAGAATAGATAAATGGGACCTCATAAAACTAAAAAGCTTCTATTCATCAAAAGGAATGGTCTCTAAACTGAAGAGAACACCCACAGAGTGGGAGAAAATATTTGCCAGCTACACATCAGACAAAGGACCGATAACCAGAATGTATAGGGAACTTAAAAAACTAAATTCTCCCAAAACTAATGAGCCAATAAAGAAATGGGCAAGTGAATTAAACAGAACTTTCTCAAAAGAAGAAATTCAAATGGCCAAAAAACACATGAAAAAATGCTCACCATCTCTAGCAATAAAGGAACTGCAAATTAAAACCACACTAAGATTCCACCTCACCCCTGTTAGAATAGCCATCATCAGCAACACCACCACCAACAGGTGTTGGCGAGGATGCGGGGAAAAAGGAACCCTCTTACACTGTTGGTGGGAATGTAAACTAGTATAACCACTCTGGAAAAAAATTTGTGGAGGCTACTTAAAAAGCTAAACATTGATCTACCATTTGATCCAGCAATACCACTCTTGGGGATATTCCCAAAAGACTGTGACACAGGTTACTCCAGAGGCACCTGCACACCCATGTTTATTGCAAGACTGCATCTTGACCAATAATTGGATGTGCCTGTTGTCCCAGTCATACAGGAGGCTGAAATTGGGAGGTCATGATTCCAAGGCAACCCCTGGCAAAAAAAAGTCCACAAGACCCTATCTCAACAGAAAAAGCTGGGCATGGTGGGACAAACTGTGGTCCAGGCTAGCCTGGGCAAAAAGAGAGACCTTATCTTCAAAATAACAGGAGCAAAAAAAAAAAAGGCTGAAGGTGTGGCTCAAGTGGTAGAGTTTAAACCCCACTACTGCCCTCCCCCACCTCTCACAGTCCTAGAGGCTAGAAATCTAAAATAAAGGTGCTGGCAGGGCCATCCTCCCTTGTAAATCTCTTAAGGTTTCCTTTTTCCAGCTTTTTGTAATCCCAGACATTCCTTCACATTGTTCATTGTTCAGTCTTTGCCTGTCTTCACATTGTCAAGTAAGTATACTAGTACGATTAGATTAAGGGCTCACCAACTGGAGTGAAGTCATTTTTAACTAAATACATCTGGATTGACTAAATACATCTGGATTTCCACACCTTTCTGAGGTGTGGAAAGCCCTGGGGTTAGGACTTAAACACATCTTTCCGGAGAAACAATTCCACACATCATAACTAGTATGTGCAAATTCTTTTACTGGTAGGAGTTGGAACTTTCATATTTATGAACACAAGTGAGTGCTTCTCTGTGATTTACATATTTCAGAAAGGCTGCCTTTCCTTTCCATTCTCATGAAGCATACCAAGTGTTAGACTGCTTAGATAATAAAAGGGGAAAAAAATCCATAAAACTAGGGAGGTAATAGCCAAGGAGTTCAACCTAAACTTTTTCTTCAGAGAGGTAATCTGAAGTATAGGCTCTGAAGTCAGGTCGGTCATGTATTAGGTATGCATCTACCACTTGGTGTAGCACTCTGGGCAAAGCCTCAACCTCCTCATCTGTGCAATGAAGGATGAGTGGGAAATAAAATACTTTCCATGTCTCTATTGCAGTAATTAAATGAGATAAAGCATTTGCCACACAATGCTTAGCAAAATAGGAAACACTCAATGCATGTTGACTTTATTAATATTACTCTTTAGCTTAGAACTGGTGATGTTTCAAAAGCATGTAAACAAGAGCACGGTAGTGGATATCTGTGCCTTCTCTACTGTGCACATTATCTAAGGTATAATCATGTGTACATTGGTTACTAATTAATTTTATTTTTCAAATGTGACAGATTATTTCTTCTGTTTATCTTTCTCTAGTGGTTATGTGATATGACGGTGTTAATAAATAATAAAAAGGTAAAAATACTAAGTTAGAACTTGAAGTTACTGTATTATGCAGCTTGGTCTGTTTAATTTATGTGATGTCAAACACAGCCTGAATGGTAACATCCTATGACATAAGCAGAATTGTATGACTAAACCATATTAAGAGGTATTTTTCCATTTTCAAAAATAAAAGGAAGAGCTGGTGGAATGGCTCAGATGGTAAAATAAAATAAAGTAAAGGAAGATGCTACTTAAGGTAATAAAATATATTCTAAAATAAATAGTCGGAATTTTGTGTGCAGTGTGGGAGTGGAGTGTGCCTGGTGATGGCTCTGGGGATTGATCCCAGGACTTTGTACATGCTAGGCAAGCATTCTGCCTTTGAGCTATGCACCCCCAGCCCCAGTTGCAATATTTGTAATGAATGTTGGTTAGTTATAGGTTGTGTTTATGTGGTACCGTGGAAGTTCTAGGTCTCTCACCTTGGATGTACTTGACTTTAGGGTATTTCATCCTGGTTGCTTTTCCTACCCCTCCCTATCCTGACACAAATATTTAGGCTTGTGTATTCGCTTTCATTTTTGAAGATCCTTTCTCATATTTATGTTGTTTTTCTGTCAAATAATAGAAAATAATTTGAAAATTTAAGCAAAACCTTACCAGTGGTTAATTTTCTGTTCTGCTGGCAATTTTAATTGTGAAAATATAGGTGCTGCATCATGGTTTACTACAACTTGTGTAAGCTCCTTAAGAGCAAGTAGGATTTTTTTAAACATCTTTTCCTTCAGCCCCATTTCAGTAATGTGTAATAAAGTGCTTTGCATTAAACAAAAGAAATACTTTTCAAGTAATTCTATTCCATTTAATGCTACCTATGATGGGAAAAATAGTTCATAGAGATAAAGTATTTGAAAAGAATAGTTAGCTGAATTCACTTTTAGTAGTTACTGCTTAATAGCCAGGTCAACAATGTTGTATGGCAATTTCAACACTGATTTGCTTTTTTCCTATTAATCTGAATATATCCCTTAAAAATTGCTATACCTCATGCTGTTAGCAAGCAGGTGATCCAGACCAGGCCATCATGATGACAGGGAGGTGGACCATCATCTGCTCGTCTTCTGCCTGGTCCCTCAGGGCAGCTGCATTGCTGGCAGCAGCCCATAGTTGCCAGTGTTGTCCAAACAGGTCACCTTCAGTACCCAGCTCCAGAGAGCTACTTGATTTATGCTAATCTACAGGGATTTCTTGTATATCATGTAACATTACCATAACACTAAGCACATGGACCACAGGCTTAAAGTTATATAATAAAAATAGTCAGTTGGCTAAATTCCACATAATTCTTGTAATCGTGTCAGTAGGATCTAGCCACAATGCTTAAGCTTTGAACAAATAACAGGCTTTTGAATACGAATGTTAATGAACTTGGATAACTTATCTGCCTAAGTGACGTGTGTACATGTCTAGACATTTCAGTAATCAATCTGTTGTTAGATACTCATGATAAGAAAGGTTTAGCTTAGATAATTGACTTTAAACTATTTAAATAATTGAAGTACACTATTTAAATAATGTAAGTCTTAACTATTATTCAGGAAAGGACATTTGAAATATAAAATGTTTGCTGTATGTTTTATTGTCAGAAAATCTTGAGTAATTATCATAAAGTAACTAATTATCATCAGTTACTGTGCTATGGAATTACAAGTTAAGATAAAAACACTCCACTTCTCTGTAACAACCACTAGTGCCTTTGTTTTTGAAGGCAGGTATACATTGCAAAGTTTTTGTTCTTCAGGCTGAGCTAGAACAAGAGAGGCACCAGCATGAGGAAACACTGGCTGCCATGAAAGAAGAAGAGAAGGTCAAAGTGGACAAGATGGCCCATGACTTGGAGATAAAGTGGACTGAGAATCTGAGGTATACCTTTTACACTGTAATGTAAGATTTTACTGACATAGTGTCTGTATGTTGTATTGTTAAAGACATACTAGCAGTATTTTAAATTATTTTTCCCATGATCTGCTGTAGAGATTTCAGAATTCTTTTTTTCCCCTGTTTGGATTTAGATTTACTTTTCTGATTTTATTTCCTTGAATATAAAATAGGCAGAGAACTAACATGAAGTCAGAAGACTTACTTGTTCTATTGCCTTTTCTGCCATTGATAAATTGATAAATGAGTGGTCTTGGGTAAGTTACCAGTTTATCTCATAGTCCTTAACTATAAAATATCATACTCATACTCTAAGCTCAAAAAACCTGTGAGCCTCTCTACAATAGTCACTAAGGGGGATAATTGTCTTTACACAGTAAATGGCTGTGTTTTATTCTAGGCAAGAGTGTTCTAAACTTCGTGAAGAGTTGAGGCTTCAACATGAAGAAGATAAGAAGTCAGCAATGTCTCAACTGTTACAGTTGAAAGAGCGAGAGAAAAACGCAGCCAGGGATTCATGGCAGAAGAAAGTTGAAGATCTCTTAAACCAGGTAGTTAGTAGTCTGCACTTTATGACTGTTCAGTTTCTTGACATTCTATAGCTGGGGAAATACTGTAAAATACTGTATTCAGTTTGTCTTAGGGAAACTTAAGTTTAAAAAATATATACATAATCAGAGACATATTCATAGACTTATGAAACATATTCTAAATAACTATATTGGTAGTCCTAAATGCAGAGAAGAATTTATGCATTTTTAGTTTGTGAACTGAACACTGAAGAGATTTGAAGTGAGAAAGTTAGCAATTTTTTAAAAATATAAAATCTTTTCTCAGGCTGTTAGATGCCCTTTGGACAACAGATGGTAATTAAATGTGCCCTGACTACCTAAAACCACTTACCAAAAGCAAGCAGTTTACTTCTTTCTCTCCAATGGAATTAGTCTTTAAGCCCATTGGAAAGAGTATCACATAAACAAAAGGTGATGGTAGTTCTAAACCTGTCTTCTTGTGTCTTGTCCTCTTATTTCCAGAATACTTATAGCTATAATTAAAATAATTTGCACATTTTTACTTAGTTACACAACCTCTAAGTTTATAAGTTCTTAATATCTCCTGTTAAACCAGTCATTAAATAAAGCTGACTGTATGAGTCACCAGTTGATAAGCAAGTACAGAACTTGGGCAAGAAGCAGCTTGTAATTTTGTGTTAGAAATCCACTATTATCTTTCTATTTGTGATTGTGATGAATTTTGAAATAAACAGGATAGAGATTTTGTAAGATAATTTGTTACCTAGGGACAAACAAGTGATATCTTTCAATAATGCTTGTGGTCTGCCAATATGTGTCTGATATTTCATAATAACTTATGATGTTACTCTGAAAAGGGAGAAGCCGTGTGTGAATTTTTATGAATCATTTGAAACCTTTGAAAATAAAACAAAAAAGAAATGCCTTTTACTAGAAGTTGGACACTTCAATAGCATCACTTATTAATACTTCTTTTACATTCTTTGGGATGCAGAAGGACAGATTTTCTGGGTAGACTGTTACTAATCTTCCATCATGTTCTATACCTAGGAAGATTTAATTACTTAAATTATATAACAAAAAAAGAAAAACATTCCTAAAAGTTTGCCCTTTTTCAACCAGAAAGGATTGAACACTGTCTGTTTGAGGGGTGGAGGGTAGGTTTTCACTAAAAAGAAGGCCACTACTACTCCCATCTTTTTTTCTTTTGTCTCCTCTTCTACCCCCCTTGTCTCTGCATCTTGTGTATCTGTGTACTATAAAATAATTACATCTTTGCTTCATGTTTTGCTAGGTTTATGAGGAAATTTTCAAATTTGTTTTCAAAGTAGATTAACTATAAATATCAATTTAATTAATTGAATCTAAAGATAAAACTGTTCTGTGATGCTCTATGCTATTAAGCCATTTGTAAGATTACAGTATCTTCTTCTCTCCCCACTTCTAAAATGTATAGGGCATACACAGGTATATAGGTAAATAGGATTATCTGTGCCTGAAGGAAATCAGGAAAACAAGTGAATAAGATGCCCTGTTGAAGCGAAAGTGGGAATTATGTTAATAAGACATATGAGATAACAAGAATTATAGGAGAGCCAGTTGTCATTTAGTGGGACTCTTGCAGAAAAAGGATTCCTCCTTCCATCTTGCTCTCTTTATGCTGAGATGTGTTCCTAAGCCTGTGCTCTGAAGCCTGCTGTACGTACCATTTTTGACTTGCCTGACACTGGTGCTATGCTCTGTTCCTTTTCACCTCCATCCCCACTCCTACACCCATATGACCCTGCTCACTGCTACTGATCTAATTCTGACTCCTCTTGCCCTGGCACTGCTATCACTCTCATCACTTAGGGAAAATAGACTGGGCTTAGGGTTGGTGATAAAAAAGGAGTGAGAATGGGGAATAGAATTGGAATGGCCAGGTTAGGCAGAAGTATGAGAGAATCTGCATTTTTCACATATTTTAACTATTTCTAAATGAACTCAACATGAAACTGTCTTTGTGCTTTAGCATAACTATATTTCATCCTACTTAGAGCAAAAAAGAAATAAAATAATTTGTCTCTCATATGAATTTAAATTCTGGTGTTAAATATGATTTAAACTCACCCTCCTAGCCTGCATATTTAAAAATGGGTACAAAAAAATCAGAAAATTTTCACTTGCCTTGAATCGGATTTTTTTTTTTTACTTCATGAAATTTTCTGTAGACTATTATTTTTATTCTGTACTTCAATTCAGAGGCAATTCCAGATATTTTGGTTTTCATTGTGTTCTCGTTTTCATCCCAGTGATAGCAGTTATTGATGTAGGTTCTCAAACTTCTAGTCTCAAAAATACTCCCTCCTCAGCCTCCTGAGGGAGTGGCACTGTAGGCGTGTACCACCATGCTGGGCTTCAATGATTATACTTTAGCCTCATGCAAATTATGCTCCCTAGAATAATTATTGCGTAAACTTGAATTATTTTAAAGCAAAAGATCTGCATTCATACTCTTCAACTCTAATTTAAAGAGTTATGAAGAAAATATTTAACCATATATTCTATTTGTAATCCTAAAATGCCTTCACATACTCCTTTATTTCCCTTGTTTTTAAGGCAGATTTTATTTTGGATCCAGCATGACAATTTATTTATTCAGATTCATTCAGAGCATTAGACTGAGAAATTAGAGGGACATCACTCAGATGTACAACTGTTGAATTTGTACTTTGAAACTAACTCTCCATTTTACAGATGTGAAATTTGGGATCCTATAGTCATTTAGCTGCTTGTATCCATGAATATGAACAGTTTTTACAGTTCAAAAATTTATAGTCTAATAGGATGAAGATCATGTATATAAATACTTATAGTAAAAGTCACAATGCAGTTAAGTCACTACATAAGTGGTACAAACAGTCTGTGCTCCAGAAGTAGTGGTGTGTTAGAGTTGACTCCTACCTGCTCATCAGAGTCAGTGGTACCTCTTCTCAGCTCTGCCTTAGGGACGTCATGCTGGCTTGCAGTCAACATGGTGGTTGTATTTATACCACAGCTCTCAACAAATGCTACAGGTCAAGACTTTGTTTTTCAGAGAGCTGTTAAACGTTTACCAGTATATCACTGGGTTAGAAGCAAAGAGAAACAGTATATAGCCAGCATGACTGGGAAAAATTTCATTGAAGAGAACAGGTTTAGCGTGACTCTTGAGTAGGGCATAAGAGTAACAAAAATGTATTTAATAGACATTTTGTTTCTCAGGCCCTATGAGGATTATAGTAATGAAAACAGAGGTTGGCGGGGGCAGTTTGGAGAGAGGTTATCATGAAAAACCTTGACTTTAGGAGTTTAAAGTTTACTCAGTAAACTATGAGATTCTGTCAAAGTTTTATACAAAAGCAAATGACATGCCAATAACTCCTCTCCTCAACCTCCTCTTCTCTTCCCTCCCCTCTCTCCTCCCCTCCCTTCCTCTCTCTTCCCTCCCCTCCTCTCCCCTCCCCTCCTCTTCCTTCTGCTCTATCTTCAAAATATATCAAAGAGGCCTTCCCACTTCTCACTACTTCCTCACTACCACCCAAGCCCCTTATGATTGTCTCCTGCCCTGAAACAGTAACCTCCCTTTGGCCTCCCTGCTTCTACTCTTGCCTGCCTACAGATTATTTCCCATCTTGCCAAAGTAAGCTCATGTTATTCCCCTGCTTCAATCCTCCAGTGATGCTCTGTCACATTTTGAATATAATCCACACTCTTAACATGGCCTTTAGTATCATCTTGATTCTCTCTCTTCCTTTTTTACAACCATATGGACCACTTGCAGTTCTTTGAACATACTTTGCAAGCCTAATGCAAAGGTCTTTGCACTTACCACATGGATTCCACTTTCCCTAGATATCAGCATGTTTTATTTTTCCTTCATTTTGTTCAGTTGTCTCCTCAAATCTTAACTCCTCCAAACGGTGTTCCTTGACATCTATCTCTGAAGTAGCACCCTTTATTTCCTGCTAGCCCCTTATTTTGCTTTGTGTTTTTTCAAAGCATTCATTACTACAGAGTATTATATCAATTTTCTTACCTATTAGAATGTAAGTTCCATCAAATCTGGACCTTTGTGTTGTTCACTGTTATATCCTTAGCATCTAAAACCATGCCAGACACTCAGTAAGCACTTAACATTTGTTGATTAGAGTGAACAGAAACTGAGACACAGGGACCAAAGAAGTTGTTAAATACATAAAGTTCAAATAATTCTGCCCAGTTAAGAATGTGAACAAGGTTTATTTAACTGACAATGGAAGAGAAACATATGAGATCTTCTGATGGAGTACTTTGGTAAAAAAGAAGGAAATGTAAAAGCTAACTTCAGATTTGAGTCAAGGTATTGAAAAGGAGAGCATTGTCTGAGATCAGGTCAGAACATGTTCCTTATATGGGGCAGATGGAAGAGTGATACGTTTTGTTTTAGAGGTATTGACTTTATAATCTCAGGATATTTTAGAATTTTTCACACTCAGTAGGAAGAACAGTGACTACAGAAAGAAATGCAGCATTAAAAGAACAGTTGCAAAGCTAGTTTTGTTAAGGTTTGCTACAGATTTCTTCCTGTTTTCTAGACCAATGCTGACTAGTAAATGGCTACTAGTCACATATGGCTACAGAGCACTTGAAATGAGATTCATCCAAGTGGAGATGTTAGTGTAATTTATCCACTGGGTTTCAAAACCCTAGTAGAAAAAAAGAATATGAAATATCTCACTATTATTTTTGTATAGTTAGATGTAGAAACAGTATGTTTGGATGTATTTGCTTAAATACATGAGTAAATTAATTTTACTTTTTCATGTGGCTACTGAAAATTTTAAATTATACCTAAGGCTTGCATTTGTGGCTGTCAGTTGTATTTCTATTAGACAGCCTCAATCTAGACTACCTAGAACCCAAAGCTGTGGGGCCACTTTGGCATTAGAGCTCAGCATGCATTCTGCCACTCCTTCTCCTGGCTTCAAATTAACTTTTTCTTTATGTTACCAAGGAAATTTCTTTCTATTTTTATTTTTTAATTTATTTGTATTGTTGTACTGGGTGGGGGTACATTGTGGAATTTGTAAAAACTTTTACAATCCTTAGCTGG